AAAAAAAAAAAAAAAAAAAAATGAAAAAGTGAAAAACATAACCCAAAAGGAGGAAATTTAGTCAGTTGGAACCAACCCCCCAAAATAACATGGTAGAATCAGCAGACAAGGACATTAAAACAGTTATAAATAAGTTCCATGTGTTCCAGAAAGTAGAAGACATGAGCATGTTAATTGGAGACATGAAAGATATATAAAAGACAATTTTATCTTCTAGGAATGAAAACTTCAGTGCCTAAAATGAAAAATATATTGGACAGAATTATCAGCAGACTAGACAATGCAGAAGGAAAAAAGTGAACTTAAAGACGGAGCAGTAGAAACTGTCTAAAATGGAACAGAGGTGGAGGCTGCAGTGAGCTGAAATCGTGCCACTGCACTCCAGTGTGGGCAATAGAATACAGCAATACTCCATCCCAGAAAAAAATTAGCTGAGTGCAGTGGCATGCACCTGTAGACCCAGCTACTCAGGAGGCTGAGGCAGGAGAATCGCTTGAACCCAGGAGGTGGGGATCGCAGTGAGCCGAGATCATGCCACTGCACTCCAGCCTGGGTGACAGAGCGAGACTCTGTCTCAAAAATTATACACACACACACACACACACACATATACAGATATGTATTTTTATGACACATGTATATGAGACCAAGAGGGTTCATCCCAGGAATGGCTTAACATTCCAAAAATCAATGTGTAATATACCATATTAACAAGCTGAAAAGGAAAAACCATCTGACAAAATCCAGCATCCATTCCTGATCAAAATTCAGCAAACTAGAAATAAAAAGGAAATTTCCGTTACCTACAAAAACCTACCTAGTGATAACTAAATGCTCTTTGCTTGTGAGATCAGGATCAGAGCATGTTTACTCAGCATTTCTGCCCAGAATTGTGCAATGAAGCAGAAAGAAAAGGCATCCACATCCTGTAGAAAGTCTGATGGAGGCTGGGTATAGTGACTCATGCTGGTAATCCCAGCACTTTGGGAGGCTGAGATGGGAAAATCACTGAGAACAGCCTGGGCAACATGCAAGACCCTGTCTCTGTTTTTAAAAAGTTTAAAAATTAGCTGGGCATGGTGGCACACACCTATAGTCCCAGCTACTCAGGAGGCTGAGGCAGGAGGATCCCTTGAGCCTGGGAGGTCGAGGCTGCAGTGAGCTGTGATTGTACCGCTACACTGCAGCCCTGATAAAGTGAAACCCTGTCTCAAAAAAAAAGAAAAGAAAAAACCTGATGGGATCTAAAATGAAGCTGTTAGAACTAGTAAGTGATTTTGCAATATACAAGATCAGTGTAGAAAAATAAGTTGTATATATATTTCCAGTAAACACTCAGAAATTGTTTTTTGGTTTTTTGTTTGTTTGTTTTGAGACAGAGTCTCGCTCTGTTGCCCAGGCTGGAATGCAGTGGCAGATCTTGGCTCACTGCAGCCTCCACCTCCCAGATTCAAGCAGTTCTCCTGCCTTGGCCTCCTGAGTAGCTGGGATTATAGGTGCGTGCCACTGCACCCTGCTAATTTTTGTATTTTTAGTAGAGACGAGGTTTTACCATGTTGGCCAGGCTGGTCTCGAACCCCTGACCTCATGATCCACCCGCCTCAGCCTCCCAAAGTGCTGGGATTACAGGTGTGAGCCACCGTACCTGGCCTGAATTTTTTTTTTTTTAAGTAGTACCTAAATGTTTTAAACATTATTGTATCTCTGGGGTCCGAAGACTCCATATTATCAAGTTGCCTGTTTTACCTAAAATGATCTGTAAATGCAGGACACATGCAAAAACATGAACCTGCATCCGTACCTCACAGCATAGACAAAAACTAACTTACTCTGTGGTTCGTAGCCGTAAATGTAAAGCCTAAAACTATACATCTAGAAAACAGCGTAGAAGAACATCTGCACGTCCTTTGGGCAAGGATTTTTTTTATGTGACACTAAGAGCATGACTTATAAAGAAATTGATATATTGGACTTCAGTGAAATTAAGTATTTTGCTGTTGAAAAGACACTGTTAGACAGGCACAATGGCATACACTTTTAGTCCCAGTGACCCAGGAGACTGAGGCTGGAGGATCTCTTGAGCCTAGGAGTTCAAGGCTAGCCTGGGCAACATAGAAAAACGCTGTCTCAAAAAAAAAAAAAAAAGAAAAGAAAAAGAAAAGACACTGGTAAAACAACGGAAAGTGACAGACTAGAGAAAATAATTTGCAAATCACATCTGATCAAGAACTTGTATTTGGCAAACACAGTACTCTACAAACTGCCTAGGAACTCAGTTTTCAAAAATGGATCAAACACTTGAACACTTTACCAAAGAATACATACAGATGGTAATAAACACATGAAAGATGTTCAACATCATTAGTTGTTAGGGAAACACAAATTAAACCACAACGAGGTACCACTGAACACCTACTGGAATGGCCAGAAATTGAGTTGGACCATCTGTGCATTGGTGAGCACGTGGGGCTGCTGGCACGTACCCTGCTGTGGGAAGTGGGTGTGGCACACCACTGTGCAAAAGGTGTTCTTAAGAAGCTGGATACACACCTGCCATACTACCCAGTCATTTCTCTCTAGGCGTGTGCCCCAGAGAAATGAAGACCTACGGCCATGCCAGGACCCATACACAAAGTTCACAGCAGCTGGATTTTTAATCACCAAAAACCCAGTGTCCATGAGCAGGTGAATGGATAAGCGAGTCACATCGCGTTCGTACGATGGAACATGACTCAGCAATACAGGGAGCAAGCTGTTGACATGCAACAGCACAGGTGTCTCCAGTGAGTCACACTGTGTGCACTCATGTGAAGTATGAAGTTCCAGAGCACGTGAGCAGCCAGTGTGACTGGAGGGGCTGCGACACACGGCGGCTCTGGGGACTGACAGGTCTGTTTGTCGTCTCGATTGTGCTGATGGTTTTATGGGTATGTGCATATGTCAGACTTGTCAAGTCACACACTTCAAATATGTGCACCTTATTGTATGTCAGTCACACTCTGCAAAACACAATAGTTGTGGAAGGAGAATATTGGCATAAACTTCTAAACCATGGGTGTCCAATCTGTTGGCTTCCCTGGGCCACACTGGAAGAAGATTTGTCTTGGGCCACACATAAAATTCACTAACACTAATGATAGCTGATGAGCTGAAAAAAAAAATCACAAAAACACTCATAATGTTTTAAAAAGTTTACGAATATGTGTTGGGCTGCATTCAGAGCTGTCCTGGGCTGCATGCAGTCCATGGGTTGCTGGTCGGACAAGCCTGTTTTAGACTAAAACTTAGTAACGTGTGTAAATTTTTTAATGTGAGACCTTTTTTTTTTTTTTTTTGAGACAGAGTCTTCCTCTGTCCTCCTAACTGCAGTGTAGTGTCGCAGTCATGGCTCACTGCAACCTTGACCTCCTGGACTCAAGCAGTGCTTCCACCTGAGCCTCCTGAAGTGCTCAGATTATAGGTGTGAGCCACTACTGCTGACCCCAGAACTTTCGATTTTACAGATTCCAGAATCTGTCCTATGAAAGTAATGAAGTTATTTAACAAAGATAAATGTGCAAAGCTGTGAATTACAGATTGTAATGAAAAAAATGGAAAATCCCACTGGTTTAGGACAAATGCCGTTTATGTTGGAACGTACAACCAATTCTTGTGTAGGATCCTTTTTTTTTTTTTTTTTTT